ATCTGTATTTAGCAAAATTTTTAGACCTTTCAACAAAATCGTTCTTTCCGTGTAGGGATACAAAGCGGATTCTGATCCAGATTTTTTCTGCCATTTTTCTTGCTTGGCCAATATTTTTCCACTTATTTTTCACTTTTAGGGGGAGCGAGGGGAGATAAATACGTCACATCAGAGCCGTAGTCTGACTTTTTTCCCCTAAATTTTTGAACCTGACCGTTTGTGACGTCACAGGCCGTTGCCCTGACTTTTTCCCTGCCAAGTTTTCAGCCTGGTCCACTTCTTTTTTAAGAAGTGACTACGTTCTGATTGAAACATTTTTTTCCCATAGAAAATATTAAGAAATGGGGCGCGCGGGGAGAAGGTCCGCCACTGCCGCCGTCGTTCGCCGTAGCCCGTGCGCAGCGTAATTTCAAAGAAATAAATATCGATGACGTAAGAAAAGAGAGACAGTACAGAAATAATTTTAAGACTTATACATAACATATATATATCATATACGTATAACGCATTTATTTTCTTTTACTTTATTTATTGTTCGTGTAACCATTATATATAATATTATCTGATGCGTAAGCTATTATATAATTCGCAAACTACAATTGAAGTGTTATTGAATTTCTTGCTCAAAAGATTTGCCACAACGCGTTAATTGTTTATAACACAATTTTCACGTAAGATTACGAAATACTTAAATTTCTCGCTCACGCTCCAAGTTTTTTCAGAATTAATCGTCGACGGAAAAGCTCTCGTGGTCAGCTGTTTGCTCTAAATGACGACCTTTTAGCTGGACAATCGATGCATTTCCGGTTTCATCGTTATTATCGAGGGCCTCTATATTTTTTAGAAGGTCGCGAATATTCTAGAAAAATAAATATACGTAAAGAAGAGAGAAGGTGATGCAATCTTCTAGTTGCATCGATGCATTTCCGGCACCATCGTTGTTACCGCTTTATTTTTTATATGGTCGATCGAATATTCTAGAATAATAGATATACATAAGGAAGAGAGAGAGGAGAGACAGTGGTGATATATGCAACCTTCCAATTGCATCGATGCATTTCCCACTTCATCATTGTTACCAAGGTCTCTATTTTTCAGAAAATGAATGTTCTAAAAGAATATAGATATGTAAGGAAGAGAGAGGGGAGAGACAGTAATGCAACCTTCTAATTGGTTCTCACACTAACGCGAGAGACAAATACATGAGACTTAACATTACGGTGTAACATCTCGATTGTCGGCTTATCAGTCGAACGGTAGCAGTTCACTTAATTGTATCGATCGCGCTCTTATAATAATCCTTGTCGCACCGAGACCTTCTTACCGTGCACAAGCTTGTGTATTTGTACAGTGTGTGCGTATATTTGCAATTTTGTTTGGTGAGATACGCCTCATATATAAATTTTGTAATATTTTAAATTTAAAAATATTGTAAATTTGTATAAATACACTGTCCGTTCTCTTGTCTCTCTCGTCTCTGTCGATCCGTGCATTCGTTCACGTTTCTCGCTACTATTTGCACACACAAGGATTAACAAAAGTTGTACTATACATATATTAAATAAGAGCAGTGGCGACTTAAATAAGGTTAAATTTGACACTATAGATTTAACAGGGTAACGAGAGTTTAAAAAAAAAAACTATACTTCTCAGTGCGTGTGTGAAAAGAATATGGAACAATCGGAGAAAATGATACGTGACCTTGAGGGGCAAGCTGCTCGGCTGACTAACACGCGAGATTTTATCGCATGGGAGCAGCGTTGCGATGAGTTTATCGAGTCGGTGAATGAACGAAGTCGAAGTAAACGTCCGCGATTAACGACCGGTGCGAAACAATCATTGATCGCATATATCACGCGAGCCGAAAATTTGAAAGAAAGTTTGCGCGAACGATTCGTGCATGTAAACCGCGCCGAATACAGTGCGGGACTCAGGTGGCTGGAAATAGATACTGCATTCAAAAGTCGTATACTAACCGGCGCCGTTATAAATTCAAAATATATCGAACCTCTTTGGTTTCTCGAGGATGCGCAAGAAATTGTTCTCAAGCATGTGCGACAGATTATGGAGATGCATAATAGCATCAAGATAAACACCGCGTTTAACGGTGAATTTGTAGCAGGTGACAAACGTGCTAATAAAAGTATTACCACGAGTAACAAGGAACTTTATCAATGCACTAATTTACAAGAGTGGTACAAATTGCACATTATCGAGCTTATCTTAGCGTCGCTGGATGAATTCGAGGAACGCGATAGCGGATGGACCTTGTCACGTATACTGAATTTAACAGTTAACGTGAACAAGCACAATCCTTTGCACGCGGGATGCAACATCGAGTTGCCGCGAGAAATTATGTTGAAAAAAGCAGTGGTCAATGTGAAATCCGAGGACAATGCATGTTTCGCGAGGTCCGTAGTAGCCGCTCTGCACCCGGCTAAAAGTCACACGGAACGGGAATCATCGTATCCTCTTTATTCAACAGTATTGAACTTGAATGGCATCGAGTTCCCAATGACGTTGAATCAAATAGAGAAATTCGAAGAGCTCAACACAATCTCAATCAACGTGTTTAGCGTGATCGACAATAACGAGAACGAGAAGAAAGGACTCTCGATCCGACACACTCGACTCACGGAAAAAAAGAAGGAGAAGCATGTAAATCTGCTATATCTACAGGACAATAATAATGAGGGTCATTTCGTGTGGATAAAAAATCTGTCCCGCCTCTTGAGTCAACAAGTGAACAAGACAAAGAATAAGAAATTCTTTTGCGATAGGTATATAAATTATCATTAAATAAATGAAAAATACTTTATCTCTCTATTTCTTGAAAAATAATAAATTATATACACATATATATTTTTTTTACAGATGTTTGCACTACTTTAATAGGAGCGAAAAGTTGGAGGCTCACGTTATAGACTGCCAAGAAAGAAACGACTGTGCCATCAAATTACCTAGCGAGAACGACAAGTGGCTGAGTTTCAAAAATTACAATCGAAAAGAACGAATGCCCTATGTCGTGTACGCCGACCTTGAGTGTACCCTGAAGAAGATGGAGAAGGAGGAGGAGGAGGATTTGAAAAAGCTTAGCTTTCAGCATCATCATAAGGTGTTCAGCATTGGATACTATGTACACTGCGCGTACAATGAATCGTTATCCATTTCGTATCAATTTCGTCGCGGTGAGAACTGCGTCACGTGGTTCGTCGAGCAACTTGAAAATTTAGCGCATAAAGTAAAGTCTGCTCTGTCCGCTAATGTTCCCATGGCAAATTTGACGCGAGACGATTGGGTAAAATTTAACAGCGCTACAGACTGCCACGTGTGCGAAAAACCGTTCGCGCCTGACGATTCGCGAGTACGCGATCATTGCCATTTGACCGGGCGTTTCAGAGGTCCCGCACATTCAAACTGCAATCTAAATTACAAAGATTCGCATTGCATTCCCGTAGTTTTCCACAATTTATCCGGTTACGACTCGCATTTTATTATCAAAGAAATAGCTACAATGTTCGCTGGAGACGTATATTTACTTCCGATTACAAAAGAAAAGTATATTTCGTTTACTAAATATGTTAATAGCACCGAAGAGACGGAAAATAATCGAAAAATTTGCATACAATTGCGATTCATCGATTCTTATAAATTTCTCAGTGGCAGTCTCGAAGAATTGGCGTCTTATCTCGACAAAGAAAAACTACGAATAATGCAGCGCGAATATCCCAATTTAGCCACAGAAGATTTTGATTTACTAAAGCGAAAAGGAGTCTTTCCGTACGAATACATTGACTGCGTTGAAAAGTTGAAGGAGACACGTTTACCGCCGCGGGAATCGTTTTACAGTTCGCTGACAGACGACACTGTATCCGAGAGCGATTACGCGCACGCTGTCAACGTATGGCAGCGGTTCTCCATCCAAACACTCGGCGAGTACAGTGATCTGTACTTGAAAACTGACGTCTTGTTGCTGGCCGATATATTTGAAAACTTTCGTGACAGCTGCATCGCGAGTTACGGACTCGATCCCGCGTACTATTACACTTTACCCGGTTTTACGTGGGACGCGATGCTGAAACACACTCGCATCAATTTCGAACTGCTCACGGACATTGACATGGTCATGTTCGTCGAACGCGGTACACGCGGTGGTCTCAGTCAGTGTTCCAACAGACACGCGCGGGCCAACAACAAGTACATGCGGTCATACGATTCATCGAAACCGTCGTCGTACTTGATGTATTTCGATGTAAACAATTTGTATGGTTGGGCAATGTGTCAACCATTGCCGTACAGAGATTTCGAATGGGTCATCGACATAACCAATTTTAATGTTATGGATGTTGCGTTAGATTCTTCGAATGGTTACATTCTCGAGGTGGAGCTGGAGTATCCTCAATCTCTTCACGACGCGCACACGGACCTACCGTTCTGCCCGACGCGCGATAAACCGCCCGGCAAGCGGCAAGAGAAGCTCCTCGCGACTCTGTACGATAAGAAACGTTACGTCATTCATTATCGCAATTTGCAGCAATGTATTCGCCATGGTCTCCGTATTACAAAAATTCATCGCGTATTGCAATTTGCGCAATCTCCCTGGCTTCGTGATTATATTGAACAAAATACGAAATTTAGAGTATCGGCGAATAACGAATTCGAGAAGAATTTGTACAAATTAATGAATAACGCGGTATTTGGCAAAACCATAGAGAATGTGCGCAATCGCGTCGATGTGCGGCTCAAAACGGAATGGGAGGGCAGATATGGCGTGGAGGCGTTGATCGCGAAACCGAATTTCCACAGCCGAAGCGTCTTCTCGGAGAATCTGGTTGCGATTGAAATGCGCAAGCTCGAGGTGAAGTTCGACAAGCCAATTTACGTGGGTATGTGTATCCTTGATATATCTAAAACACGTTTGTACGAATTTCATCACGAGTACATGACACCGCTGTTGAAAACTGACTTTGAAAAATGTAAAGTCATGTATACCGATACGGATAGTCTTATATATCACATCGAGTGCGACGATATGTACGACATCATAAAGCGCGACATTCGTTTACAGCGCTACAGACTGCCACGTGTGCGAAAAACCGTTCGCGCCTGACGATTCGCGAGTACGCGATCATTGCCATTTGACCGGGCGTTTCAGA